TAATCCTCCACCCAGTGCTAAACCATTAATAGCAGCCATCGAGAGCTTTCTAGCTGCTGAGTACATAGTCACCCATGATCAAACAAAATATAAACAAATAAAGTGATGCTGGGCCTACTTCTCTTGACACTGTTACTAGATATCAGGAACAATCTATTACTATTAACAATGTACTATCCAGCACTGCAAATCGAAATTCAATTCGTATGGATGGAAAAGAATCTCACAACCAAGAGTTAAGGAATGTGGTGAGTGGAAGTTTGTCTGAAACGTTGCTTGATGAGAAAAAGTGGTCATCAGATAAGTCTCTGGACATGGATATAGAAAAGGATGTAACTTATGAACGCAGTTGTGCAAGGTTTAACCCCGTGGAATCGCCAGAACCAGCAGAATTCTCACAATCTAGGGCCTTAGACTTTATTGATCACTATCTGTCAGTTAGTGATTTGAACTTGTGTGAAAATGTTGAAACTAAAAAGACTAACAGAATAAAATCACCAGCATCTTTGAGGTCAAAAGGGACTCAAAGTTTGGCGAGGAGAGTAAATCTTGGAATCATTGATTGTGACTCTACGACTTTTGACTGGACAGGAAAGGAAAATGAGAATGGTGGGTACACCTTCCTGGGAACGACAGATGACACGATCTTTGGATGGGAAGGAAACAAATCAGGGTCCGCATTTGTAAATCAGGAATCTGATATTTTTGGCTCGTGCGGAGGCTTAATCCTCCGCGTGCGGAGGTTCTCAACCTCCGCACGCGGATGCTTAAGCCTCCGCCTTCCTGGGAACGACAGATGACACGATCTTTGGATGGGAGGAAACAAATCAGGATCTGCATTTGTAAATCAGGAATCTGATATTGTTGGCTCGTGCGGAGGCTTAATCCTCCGCGTGCGGAGGTTTAGAGCCTCCGCACGCGGAGGCTTCAACCTCCGCTTGCGGAGGTTCTCAACCTCCGCAAGCGGATGCTTAAGCCTCCGCACGCGGAGGTCGAATGACTTATTTTTAAATTTTTCTTTTTTTTTCTATTTTG